GAATCCTGTTACAAGAGTACACAAAAGAGAAATTCCTCCAAATCTCACTCCAAGCCCAAATCCTGTTAAGAAAAACAAATCTACAGGGTGAGCAAAACGCTCGTGAGGCCAAGAACACACATGCAAGCACATTGTTCAAGTAACAATCCCAATTTAACAAGTAAAACAACAATATTGCAATAAATAACAATCCGAGCGGAAAAGTAAATAGAAACAATTCAAGGATATCGGAGCTCTCAGGAGCTAATTTCCACTTGCTTTGCCAATGTTATTCGTATACCTTTCCGCGATGACACTCCGTCAACCGGGTCGGTATTTTCATTCCGTAGATCATCACTTACTTCCCTCCGTCCATCGTGCACCTCCCGGCCCACAAGACAATTATAAGGCGATACTCCACGAGTATGCCAAGCAAGACATCTCATTAGGTCGAGTTTATTTATCTCATGGCTCGCCAAAATTTCCGACCAAGCCCATGCCGGCTCGAATCCAGGGTCGGCCTATGAGTGTGGGCGTCCCCCATTTACATTTGAGAATCGAGGAGATTCACTCCAACGACGTATGCAGCCATAGCATACCATTTCATTTCATTCAATCATTCAATCATCTCATTTCATTCAATTAAGTCATTCATAATTCGTTCAGTACATTCAAATCATGAGTCATTTATTTCAAACTAGGAGGCATAAAACGCGCGTTGCGCGTTGGGATAAATATAAAACATGCCCTCTTAAATATATGGAGTCATAGAACAAAAATATTTGTCGGTTAATAATTTTATGTACGCAGTTAAACATAAATATACATGAATAAATAAAAGGTACAATCGCTTCATGAAAATAGTACGAATATTTATTTAGATTTATATAAAGGTACTGCTGAGATTTAAAGCCAATATTTTTTTAGCTAGAAATTGAATTCTTGTCTTATCTTTATTCTATTGCTCGTTTAGCATGAGAATAAAGTTCAGCATTTTTTCATGAAGTGTAGAAGCATAGAACGTGATGATTTGCATATATCATACGTCATAAGTCGTACGTTATAAGAGAAAAAAAGTACTGTTGAAAAAAGGGGAAGTAGAGGATTGCTAAAGAAGCTGTTAAGGAGAGGGAGAAATGGCATTTGCAAGAAAACAGTTTCATAAGCTGAACTAATGCTAAAACTGAAGTACGGAATCCAGTAACAGTGAAAATCGATTTAATATTTTTTTGGTTAGAATACTATAGTGTGATTTTTGCCTTGCATATCTGTGTGTGAGAGATGATGGGTGTCTCTTTGTTACTTCTATTATATATAAATTCAAAAGAATACATTTCAATTGAATTAGAATTAAATTTTTTTATTACACCAAGAATACAGCAATTTTGGGAGGAGGAATAATCTAGATCATCCATGTTCAACACATAGAACTTACAAGGATAAAGCATTCATCGAAAGGAATATTCAAATCTTAAGTTGGTCATAGGAGAGAGAGAGAGAGAGAGAGAGAGAGAGAGAGAGAGTATGCTCTCTATAAGAGGTTTTAAGATTTTTGCAGAACTCAGAGCCAACGGCCTGCTTGTGCAGGTGACTTGGCAGGCAGAAACTTGGTCTTGAATTCAATTAAATGTTATAATCAACGTCATAACATAATCCAAAATATCATCTTCGGACGTAATTCCAGAATTGAAGGCGGTAGCAGATTACAAAATTGGAAATGTAGATGAGAGCAAAATATGAACATGCCAAAATCAACTTCAATTCAATTTCTGCATAGCACAATTTGGCAATTTCATGGAACCCAACTTCCCGATAACATTCAACAATTCGCTCAATAGCCGACAATGATATATGAAAAAAATGTGTATTCATGTACAGCTTAAAAAAAGTAAGTGGAAACAATATATGAACCAAAAATAGATTGTGAAAAAATAGAATCTACACTCGTACAAACTACATATTTTGGTAATTATGAACTAAGCATTAATCTATGATATTTTTAACATATTACTGGATTCCATTATGACATGACTATGAAAACTACCATCCATAAACCATTCCCAATTTGAAGAAAAGTCAGCTCATTTAAGCACCTTGTTCAAATCCACAAGAAAATTTTTGCGCCATCAACCTGCAAATTACATACAAACAATCTCAAATTTGGATGGAATCAACCATAATTAAAGCAAACTAAGGACTACATGTCATCATGCACCAAACTTAACAAAAAAATAATAACTACTATCACCTTTTCGGGCAAAAACATTATGCATTATTATCATTTTCATATCCAAAAATCTACCGTTACCAAACATACACCTCATTATAATATAATTCCTTTCCCCTTTAACCAACCCCTATAGCATTATGTAACTCACTATTTACATTATCATCAAGTAAATAAAAATAGCTCATTAATTGAAGTCAGCTCACTTAAGGAACAAACACTTGCATTACACTACTCTATCCCTCTCAAACTTGGCATCAGACCCCATCAATTTGCATAAACCATTATTCTAAGCAATTATTTCATGGTACCGGATATAGGCCATCAATGTACACAACTAACAAAACGAAAAACTTGCATTTTTCATGTAAAAATGTGAATGTGGCATTTTTCTCAAGGGCTGAATTTTATCATACTCAACCTCACCATTTACCAGAACACTCATTATTCTTGCCTAAAATGTAATAGAAACACCTTTGGCGGTAGGGTAGGCAGATTATATAGTGTATTGCTGGCACAATAAAGTTCTGGTAACTTAACAACATTGTAAACCTGCTAATAAGTATTCATTAGCCAAAATGAGTCTCACTTTGAAAATATTCCAGAATATTCATTTTTTTTTACATGAATGTACCTTGGCTCTGCATTTTCCAGAAACTATTGCAATGGCAAAATGATAAGAAATGTCTTGCAAAGCTCATCTCATCCGATTCAAATAGGAAAAAGCAACAAATTCATTAAGATTAAATCTAATCTTTGGAAAATAAAAATTTTTCATAATGAAAAATGATGGAGAAGAAACCTCATTGGAAATGAAACCAAGTAAGGTCAGGTCTTCAACGATGGATGGAAGTGTACAGTTCATGTATGCTCAAGATCAGGAAGAATTAACGCCAAAGTTCCAGTATCAAGTATTTAAGGTGATATTTCAGCACAATGAATCCAAAAGAGTTTGGTGATACCTTAAGGTGAAGTAAATTTCTAATCTTTGTAAGTAATATGGATTGGATTTTAACAACCGTGTGGATTATTCAACACTTCTACCAAAATATGGTTTAACGTAAATCTACCAAACTTGTTAGCATGGATTACACTTATGGACCACAAAACACAAGCCAGCTAGACAATAACATTACCTCCTTCACTATTCACAAACTCAGCAAGGGGTTCTGCAGGTCGTGCACCTTTATACCTGAGAATAAAAATAGATTCATGAGGAATACAATTGTATGAACTCAAGGCATGTAAGTTATATTTACATAGAGTCAACGTTCACATAAACTAACTTTTTGGGCTCCAAAGAACCTTTTGGAAACCATTGGATATAGGGTAACCACAAACACTATATTTGCTGCAACGCTCTTATGCTCATTGCAGTTCACCTACAACAAATATAATTTGATAATAAGTTCAAAAATTAAACTTATTTTGCTATAATTCACAGCTAAATCGTTCATTAATCTTTTAAGTATTGACATTAAATCAGATGCAAAATAGAAGATTCACAATAAAGTAACATAAGCAAACAGTCCTATTTTATCTTCATCAATAAAATCACAGTTTGCCTTTAACAGTATTGCTTCAAGATTATATAACCTATATTCCAATCAAAGAAGAATGTTACCTCTGGCGCTTCCTTTTCTCCCGTCTCTCCCTCCATTTTCTTTTCTTTAATTCTAGCCATCCTCTATAATCTACCTTCCTGTCAATACTTTCCTTAGAAATAGCAGCTTCTTGTGGAGATGTCCATAGTTTTGGAGTGCCTCCATCACAAATACTTTGTTGTGGGGGACAATCCAATTCAGTGTTTTAGATAATTGCTGCACTTCATTGGCATCAAAACAATGAACAACAGGTCTAGGTCCAACTCGAAAAGTCCTACTAATTTTCCCAAAATCCTCCAGATCTGCAGCATTTTGTTCATCAACTCCATGTTTGTTACTGATAACATCACTACTTCCTTTTAAACCATTATTTTTACTCAGGGAACCAAAGATATCAACCAATTTCCTCTGGCGATATTTGTCGTCCTTCTCACGAACCTTCTTATGGAGCCAGTCGGGATGAATTACCCTTGGGACAGGATTGACCACCTTAAACATTTTCAAATTGACTTTAGACATTTGATAAAAGAAAGAAGATTCAATTACCAATTCGATCCAGTACCTTCTGCATTGCAGCCGGAATGGTAATTGTTTTCTGGATAGCTGAACTCAAACACTGCTTGTAATAGGACCAATGAGTAATGGAACGTATGCCACCATCTGATGAAATCTTGCACCACTTCCTTACATAAAACTTCATAATCTCTGAAATGAGAAAGCGTAAAAGCAGTCATCAATTTGATCAATAAAAGTTCATCATATTAACCAAGTGAGGAAAGTTTTACCAGGTTCAGTTTCAAATATGGCAACTGGCACAACACGCTCACTTACAGGGGTTCCCTGCTCAAGACAGTCCATAGCTTTCAGATGATCTCATTCAAAGGCAATTTAAAAACAATAGAAGAATGAAAGAAGGATAGGAACAAACAGCAAAAAGTCAACATTCACAAAAGGGAGACACTAAGAGATCTCATATCAGCAGCCTGTGTGGTAAGTTTAGGGTCTACAAAATTTGAGCACTTTCTTATCATTGATTTCTATGCATAATGAACACAAGCTGAAGGACCAGTATTTAGGGCCTAGTAGACCGTAAATCCACAAGTGTGAATTAGAAAACTGGATTGTCATGATACTTTCTGTACATTGTATCTAGGATGGAGAATATTTCAATGCATATAGAAAGCAATAATCTAGTATTCAGAGTTATCCATAATTTGAAACAAGCAGACAAGGCAAAAGTCAAAAGCCAGAATCTCCATTTGCCTAGCTAAAGATATGGATACCTTTGGTTCGCATGCAACAATATATTGACAACGTAATCCTTTGTCTTTAACCATTGTATCCCCCAAAAAATCAGCTAGTCGCTTTGCTGTGGTAACAGCGCAAGACTTTTGTTCACCGTAGTCTGCTAAGGACTTGCTCATTGTGCTTGATTCTGATATGTAATCAACCAGTTCACTGTCTGCAATGTCTTTTCCTTGATTCTGGGGAATTAGAAAAGTTTATACAGTATCACAATCTGAATCTTTAGCTAATGCAGTACAGCAAATTATGTTAGCTTAAGAATTCCAAAAGATTTCTATCTACAAAAGAGTTAATGACTATGGGATCCATGGCAACTTTCAAGCTTTTTCTTCCAAATGATATCAGAATCTGTTCAACTTACATCGAGAAGATCAAGCCATCGATTTGCAACAGAAGCAACAGCTGAATAGCACTCCTCTAAGGTGCACCCATGCAGAAATTTATCAAAAAGTTCAGCCTGCAATTATAAGGTTTTTAAGTACGCCAAACTTATAACATGAGGTTCTGAATGAGCATTCATTCAAAATCAAGATGAATACATAAGGATAGAAATAGGCCCTAGCTTACAAATTAATTTATTTTTCAACCAATTAATTGCCCCTCTACTCGCAATTAAGTTTCTGCAAGATTCAGAAAGTAGGAAAGATCTTATTACACGGAATTTTGAGATGGTTTTCTCTTGTTACATATTATCGTATTAAGAGAGTAACAGTGAGAAGCGGAAGACTTGGAAAGCATGGGTACCCCATAGAGCATCTTCTTTCACAAGTGAAAGATAGGCAATCATAGGAAACATTCTCATAATGCATATACTTGCATGACATGATAGTTTTATTGGAGAGAGACGTTTTGCTAGGAGCCTGATAAAGCAAAGGATTTTACACCCCATTTATAGATACATTTCTTCTGTATAAGTTCAACTTCTGGAATTTGAACCGACCAAGCAAACATGGCCATCATTTATTGCTTAAAATGGGTACAAAAATAACCATAGTTAACTCAGAACATGGACAACAAACATTGCAAAACGTTTACTTTTGTGTATTCCTTGGAACAGAAATTAGCAACTTCTGCATGTCAAGCAAATAACTACAAAAAGTACATTGTTCATACTTTTTGTCTACTATTCCATGGTGCAGCATTGCATATTAGCAGAGTCCTTAAATCTACTCTTAAAAATTGTAACAAAAGATTAAAAGATAAAATAGGAAAAGATAGGGAAAAAGAATCGCAATGGTGAAATAGATTTAGTAACCAACTACTAACACAATTAGATATTGAAACCTAAAGGTAATAAATGTAAGTTCATAAATGTTTTCAAATTGATCTTAGTTTAATTAAATTGGTAATGCAAATGATGCTAAGCATGTTTCTATCCATCATGCATCAGTAACAGAATTAGTACATCAAACAACTCTTGTTAGTTGATCTCCTACTTTAATTAAATGATGTAGGCAATTTAACTATTTGAGGAAATTACCTGGAAAACTTTGATCAGCTTTAGCTCTCCACGCCGTTTAATCTCAAAACCTTTCAGCTCTCTGCCAGGGTCCCATCATCATTAAAAACTGCATAACGCTTTTTTATCAAGATTCCTTCTTCCTTGGAAGCAGGAAGAAGCATAGCCTAGATGCCGGGGGGGAATAAATGAGGAAATTACCTGGAAAACTTTGATGAGCTTTAGCTCTCCACGCCGTTTAATCTCAAAACCTTTCAGCTCTACCAGGGTCCCATCATCATTAAAAACTGCATAACGCTTCTTTATCAAGATTCCTTCTTCCTTGGAAGCAGGAAGAATCATAGCCTAGATGCCGGGGGGGGAATAAAATAAAAAAGAATTCTGACTACATAAAAAGGTAGATACTAATCAAGCGCAGGGAGGTGGAAAGGAAATCACAGGGAGGTGGGAGAAGGGGACTCGTGATGTTCGGGGTAGAAGGAGCTCTTAGAGGAGAGGGAGACGTGGTGGAGAAAATCAGAGGAGAAAAATAAAATAAAAAGGTCAAGATCGAGAGAGAGAGAGAGAGAGACAGAGGAAGAAGAATGATCGGAGAGAAAGGTTGAGGAGAGAGACGAGGAGAAGAAAGGGAAGGGAAGAGAGACGGCGTTTTGGTCTGACCTAGGGTTAGAGTTCGAAGAGTCGTGCGCGAGGAACACATCGGCGAACAACACAAAACGACGCCGTCAGGAACCACGCACAGCGCACGTGAGAGGACGACGAAAACCTCCAGGTCATCACAACCCTTCGGCTCTTTATCTACTTATGTTGATAAAAACGAGTGCGGTAAGGTACACACTCGCCTCTATTTTCAAAATCTCCAAACAATCATAACAATTAAATTTGTATCAAGTATTCATACGCTTGACACTCACCAATATAAGTAATGAGGAAGAAATGTCCCTCGGAGCTTTAGGCATTCACTGTGAGATCTCCTCTTGAAGGTCCTCGTGTGCGCCTGAGCAAATAATAATAGACTATCATTTACAAACCCTACTATTAAAGAAGATCGTACCAAAGTACAATCTTAGAAAGTCTCGTGAAACGAGCCTAAATTATCCTAAATCGAGGCTCTCAAGTGGGGTTTCAAAGTACAAGAGAAATTTAGTTTTTATCTTGGAAATCAAGTATAAAATGTTCAAGTAATATCGAAGGAATAAGGAGTACTTGAAAAACTCCATTTCCTTGGAATTCGGAAAATTTCAGTTTTGATACGAGACATTAGAAAAATCGTATCTCACGCTTTACAAGTCAAAATTGGAAAAATTGGTACCGTTGGAAACTTATTCCAAGGTACTAAAAGTTCCTAAAATACAGTTTTCTAAGATTCCAAATAGAGAACATTCAAAAATAAGCTCAAAGTCGCTATTTTGGTTCATAAGGCAGATTTAAGTTGGTTTTTGGCCAAATTGAAAATCGGCAAAATTCACTTGATTGGAACTAGCCTTTGAAATTTGGAACTCTATTAGAGTTGCAATCCAAGTTTACAACAAAACAAGCGGAACGAGAAACGGAGTTTTGAGCACTAAGATATAGCAACTCAAAGTTACCAAAATTCCCTGTGAAACAAGGGTTTTTCAAACTCGAGTCATGAACTTTGGTAATTTAGTCGAGCAGCGAAATGGACTTGGATTGGCTAGCAAATTCGACAATATAATACTCCTATATAAAGGGTATCCCTCTATCAAATTTCACGAAAAAATACCTTCAGGAAGGTATTCAACCAAACAACCAAAGTTTTCAAAAAATCCTAAGGCAAAACTGCCTTGAGTTCTTGTTTTTCCATTTTCAAACATTTGGCCAAGGAAAATCCTGGTTCATTTTGTGTAGGGAAAATCCAAAAGAACATTCATGGCACATTTGGTAAGTGTTTTAACTCCAAGAAATTCAATTGGCAAGTCCACACTAAGTCTAGCATCAATTCTGCCCAAAATTTTAGGGTTTTCAAAACAGGGCAGGTTCCGTATTTTGATCATCCAATCACTCATTCAACTCAGAATTGAGCATAGTTGGTGGCGTTAGAAAATAAATTTATAAAACTATAATTTCACAGAAGAAATTGTTCTGAGATTTAGCATACAACTAGTTCAAATTCGAGCCTCAAGTTGTAGCTTCTGAACTTCGTTCCAGAAAAACAGAGAAACAGGACAGTCATCTTTAAATGGTTGGTACGGAATATTCAGGTGGAATTAGGGGTACATTTTATATCGTTGGAAAGTTGGGAATGTCTAGTTTCAAATGCCACTGACGGCACTTGATTTTGACATCGGAGCACAGAGTTATGGATGAAACAAGAAGGCTATCTGAGCATTACGGGAAAATTTTCCAGGTTTGCTAGCTTTGCGAGATTAATCCATTTGACTAACCAAACCTAAATATTTTTCGATGAAACTTTATACACCATCTAGACAACATATAAACATCATATACAAGCCATTAAAACCTCAAAATTCCGCAAAAAGAGGCACGATCATAACAGGGACAGAATTGAAAATTTCACATCCATGCACTCCTTGAAGTTTATACTAGCTATGCACCATTAATCTACCAATTTGAGCACTAAACCAACATTAAATCCATCATCAAGCATCTTATCAGCCATCAACCCAAGAGTGGGAGTTCATAGAGCCCACATTCAAAATTTTCCAACAACAACAAGCCACCCACATGAATATCTAAGCTCATAAGTGTAAATCAACTTCCATAGGCCAAGAATTTGAGGGTTGATCGTCACTTACTTGTGTTGGTGAACAAGACAGAATTTTCGGCCTTCCTTGCTGCAAAATGAACCGTGAAAAGCTCCCCCTTTTTTGCTAGATACAATCCCCAAGTGTTCAACTAGGTGTAGTTCAATTTTGGTTTGATTTGGTGCAAGAATTTGGAGTAGAAAGTGATGGAGCAAGGCTGGTCCTTTTCTTTCCCTTGGCCAGCTGTTCTTGGAGTGAGGAGAGGGAGTGTTTGTTCAAATAAAGCTTTCTTAAGAACCCTTAATGTGTGGCCCAAGTTGGTGCAAAAGTCAACTCTTCAATAGTGCTCGTACGCGCGCGTTTTGTGCTCGATTCCTCTCGCGTTCATTTCACTAGTGCACTAAACCTTTAATGCACTCATAATCATATTAATATTATTTATTCTTAATTATTCCAAAATAAGGGTCTAAAGTCCCTCAATCAAATCGCGCGTGTGAAAACGCGTATTTCCAATTTAAGCGCGATAAAGTGCAATCTCCAAGAAATTCTTATAACGATGGTACTAATAACTATCACTTGAGTATTTAAATATAAAAATACCTATTTTAAATCCATCCTACAAATCTCTAATTTTCCAAGTTTATTGTATTCTCGAATCGATTATTGACTCCAAACGCGTATTCACTATTTTCAATTAACGAGTTTCCAAAAATTAAATTTTGAAACAAGTCACTTTAAAAAATATAACCAAACTATAAATCCATGTATTTAAATCTAAAGAGGCTAGAAAATAATATTCGGAATAAATGGGCAATTAAATATTTAAATAAACTCGAAATGGAGTTTAAATTAATAAATTTTTTGTGAGTCCTCACATCCTCTCCCCCTTAAGAAAATTTCGTCCTCGAAATTTACCTTAATTGGTGAACAGGTTTGGATACTTTTCTCGAATTGCTTCCTCGACTTCCCAAGTCGCTTCCTCTAGACCGTGGTTCCTACAAAGAACTTTCACCAACGGTATCTGTTTATTTCTCAATTTTTTCACCTTCCTATCCAGAAGTTTCACCGGTTTCTCCTCATAGGTCAAAGTTTCATCAATTTCAATACTTTTCGGTTGCAAAATATGAGAGGGAGAGGGTCTGGATGATACTTCTTAAGCATAGACACATGGAACACATTATGAATTCGAGATAGACTCGTTGGCAAATCCAACTTGTATGCCACATTCCCCACGCGCGTGTAATCTTATAAGACCCTACAAACTCGGTTGTAGCTTTCTTTCCATTTCCAGACTTCAAACTTGTTTTCAAAGTCTAATCTTAAGAAAAACTAGATCTCCAATCGCGAAATTCCAAATCCTTCCTCCGATTATCCGCATAGTTCTTTTGACGGCTCTGTGCGGTTTGAATTCTCTGGCGTAACCAACTTTACCTTTTCATTAGCTTCCTCGATCCAAGACACTGTAGTTGGGTCTAAAATCTTTCATTCACCTACTTCATCCCAACAAATCGGAGACCTACATTTCCGACCATAAAGCGCTTCATACGGAGCCATTTGTATAGAGGAGTGAAAACTATTATTATAGGCAAATTTCATGTATTTAACGAAACTATAAATCCATGTATTTAAATCTAAAGAGGCTAGAAAATAATATTCGGAATAAATGGGCAATTAAATATTTAAATAAACTCGAAATGGATTTTAAAATAATAAATTTTTGTGAGTCCTCACATCCTCTCCCCCTTAAGAAAATTTCGTCTTCGAAATTTACCTTGATTGGTGAACAGGTTTGGATACTTTTCTCGAATTGCTTCCTCGACTTCCCAAGTCACTTCCTCTAGACCGTGGTTCCTCCAAAGAACTTTCACCAACGATATCTGTTTATTTCTCAATTTTTTCACCTTCCTATCCAGAAGTTTCACCGGTTTCTCCTCATAGGTCAAAGTTTCATCAATTTCAATACTTTCTGGTTTCAAAATGTGAGAGGGAGAGGGGTCTGGATGATACTTCTTACGCATAGACATATGGAACACATTATGAATTCGAGATAGACTCATTGGCAAATCCAACTTGTATGCCACATTCCCCACGCGCTGGGTAATCTTATAAGACCCTACAAACCTCGTTGTAGTTTCTTTCCATTTCCAGACTTCAAACTTGTTTTCAAAGCGTAATCTTAAGAAAAACTAGATCTCCAATCGCAAATTCCAAATCCTTCCTCCGATTATCCGCATAGCTCTTTTCACGGCTCTGTGCGGTTTGAATTCTCTGGCGTACCAATTTTACCTTTTCATTAGCTTCCTCGATCCAAGACATTGTAGTTGGGTCTAAAATCTTTCGTTCACCTACTTTATCCTAACAAATCGGAGACCTACATTTCCGACCATAAAGCGCTTCATACGGAGCCATTTGTATAGAGGAGTGAAAACTATTATTATAGGCAAATTTCACCAGAATAAAAACTTACTCCAATTTTTCCCAAAATCCTCAACATATCCTCAAGAGTTTGGATTGTCCTCTCAGATTGTCCGTTGGTCTGAGGATGATAAGTGGTACTGAAATTCAATTTAGTTCCTAACACCTCTTGCATCTTTTGCCAGAACCTTGATACGAATC